CTCTCTCTCACTCACTCACGCACGAACACACACACACTCACACACTCACACACGCACACACGCACGCACGCACACACACACACACACATACACACGAACACACACACACAAGCACACACACACAAGCACACACACACACAAGCACACAGCCCCCCAGAACTCACCCTCCGTGTAAGAAAAGAGACGTCCAGAGCCTGTAGAACTGATCTGGCTTTTCTGGGTTGGCAAACGGAATCATACCACAGATCTCCTCAAAACAGTCCACCTGAAAGACACGTGCAAACAAAATTCAAACATTTAATTTTAATTTGCACCACTTGGAGAATTCATAACCAGTGGCACTGAGTCCTGCCTGCACTACATACAAAGACAGAGAATAAAATGATTTGGTCACCTGTTACACAATATGTCACCTGACCAGACAGCCTCGAGAGCCTACAACACCAAGCACTCAGGCTATAAAGGAAGAGGAAGGCCACGCAAAAGGTGGATCGAGGGTGTCAAGGAAACCCTGAGAGAAAACATAACATCACAACTGAAAGAGCTGCGGAGCTGGCCTACCATAGCAAACTGCATCTCCCCTCGACGCTTAACGGCAACAGAGGATGAAAAAGTAAAGTAAAAATAAAGTAAAGGAGAATTCCTACTTTCAGGGATATCCAACTGATTATCCAAAACATTGACTTGAACTCTCAGTTAGAGCCAAGCATGACAGTTCACAAGACATTCACAACTACAATTCCAATCTTCCATTACGGCTGATTACCACCTGCCCATTTGCTGTTCGACAAACTTAAGAATATACAATAAGGCAACTCACTTTTAAATAAAATCTCCTATCCTGCACAGTCAGGAATCGAACCCTTGATCTTATCATTGTGATTCTAACACTCTAACATCCAGGACGCCTACGTGCGACTCAAGACAAAGGGATGTATAACAACTCAAAAATAACTATGCTTCCCACTTCCCCCCTCATATGACTACAAAATCCAGGGCAAACATTTTTTGACGTGGCATAGGGCCCAAGGGCACAGGCTCAAAGAGTACTGAAGAAGAAGAAGAAGAAGAGAAGAAGAAGAAGAAGAAGAAGAAGAAGAAGAAGAAGAAGAAGAAGAAGAAGAAGAAGAAGAAGAAGAAGAAGAAGAAGAAGACGAAGAAGAAGACGAAGAAGAAGAAGAAGAAGAAGAAGACGAAGGAGAAGACGAAGGAGAAGGAGAAG